GACCCAGTTGGATGCAACTGCATTGCTGGTTACGGAGGACTTGACTGTTCACAAAGTAAAATTGCTCAATAATACATTGTTCACAACGTAATTATCTAAAGATGTAGGGTACTTAATAATAGATAATGGCCGTCTGGGGAAGGTTTTCATTTCATTTAATTTATCAAAAAAGTACAAAAGACAGGAACAAACAGACGCAATGAGAAACAACAAAAGAGAGGAAAACCAAGAAAAGTGGGAAAAAAAATCAGCTATCGATTGTTTCCCACAAAAAATAAAAAATATCACAATTACCAACAATAAAGATAAAAATATTAATCATTTGTCAAAAAAAAAAAAGAAATAATAATAATTTAAAACTTTGTACTAAAATGCAGAAATTAAGTAAATGTTAAATTGAAATTAACATGTAAAATGAAGCTTGAGAGATCTGCAGAATGAAGTGAAATTAAACAAAAGGTTGTTCCTTATTTCACCAGGCAGTTTGTCCCATATTTGAGGAAAAATTGTTGAATACAGAATATTTTATAGCATTAATTCTGGCGTATTAGTGAAAAAAGAGTGCCGACAATTAACCTTAATTAATTAGAGATATCAATTGAATATTTCCCTCATAGACAGGTACTCACAGATGCTCTACTTATACTGGTAACTAATCTAAACTAAACTATTCCATTGGAAGTAACAAAACGTGAAAAATATCAAAAAGTGTAGGAATTATTTAGAGAGATTTAATTAAATCTAGTGAATACTGTAATTGCATTTACAATAACAAAACTAGCTATTTCTGCCCGTCTACGACTTAAATGTTTGGAAACTTGAGCCTGTTTATTTGGTAATAATTCCGAGTGTAGATCACATTGTAATCACCGTCCTACAAGAGGTTATGTAGAATTATTAGTTTTCAAGATTCATTATTATTTATAATTCCACAAAATAATGAAGGCCTATTCAAGTTAAATAGAAAAATTATTTTCGATATTATACAAGTTATGCATACATTTATTTTAACTACCGTGTACCATAAACACATATTCTCCCACAGCATGTGGCACTGGATGGTATGGTGCCAGTTGTCAACAAATGTGTCACTGCAATGTTACATATTGTGATCGAAAATATGGATGCATTAATGATTCGTGTTGGGACGGTTACACGGGACCACAATGCCAAGGTATTGGCGATCATGATGATTGAAGTAGTGATAATTATGAAAATGATGATGAAGGTTATGATGATTCTGATGATTATGATGCTGATGACAATGAAAATGACTATGATGCTGACATATAATCATTATGATAATTATGATGAAGATGATAATGATAAAAATTATGATGATGAAGATGATAATGACCACGACGATGGTGATGACGATGATAATGATGATGGTATTACGATGACAGTGATAAATGAAAATACACAAAAGGGTACTTTTTAAGCATCATAATCACCAATATATGACCATATTTAGCCATATAACATATATTTATCAAATATAATTTGATAATCTGGAGGGTTTAGAATATAGGCAATGCCCTCTGTATAGTACCAGGGGCGGATCGAGTAATGCCCAAAAGGTGAAAGTCGGGCCGTTCGAGATAACAAATACCCTAGTGAGTTCGGGGGCATGTCCCCGGAAATATCTGTGTTCTAGACGCCCGAAAATAACCTCTGAGGCCTTTTAGGCGATACATGTCTTTTTCTTCCTTTTTTCGACTTTCAAAAAAAAAAAGGGGGGGGGGCGGGGGCCGCAGCCGACCCGGTTCCCCTCTAAATCCGCCCTAATTACCTCCTGCACGCGTTTATGATTAAGTCTATCTAAACTTACATTAACTCATCGTACCTTTGCCGACCACCAGGTTGCACTGATGATGTATCTATCCAACAAGCAATTGCGAAGCTCATCCGTATTCACCATCCCTCCTCCTTGCCTAAGAGTTTCTATGAAGGTGGTTTTCTTCCTAATTCTCTTCTTATGTCTATCCAGTGGTTGCAATAATACTAGGCTGCAGGCAAACGTATTCGCTGTGGCACACGCAGTAATCAGCAAGTTGTAGTCGTTTTTAATTCAGATACGAGTGGAAGATTTTGATACAGCTGCTCGTTTGTTAGATTATTGCAACTTGCTGATCACTGCGTGTGTCACAGCGAACAAGTCGCCTGTGACAGTCAAGTGTTATTGCAACCACTGGATGGACTTCAGTCAAACAACAGATAGCAAGTAAAATGTTTACTTTAATCTTCCGTGACAGATTAGAGGTTCATAGTGATCTAAGTTATGACAAGCACTCCAAGCTAACGCCTTCCTTACTGCTATATCCTTCACTGTGTTTCCTATCCCTTCTCCTTGATATTTAAAGTTTTATATAGTGGTGCTAGGTGTCTGAAAACCAGTCTGGGTCAAACAAGGAAAGGTACTATCGCCCCACATTACCCGATTTACTCTGTTTACTTCGTCTGAAACTGTGTCCACTTAATTTCTTCCAGTACTATCATCAGACATATCATGTCCGTCTGGTTTCTTTGGTAAACTCTGCAACTACCCATGCCACTGTTCGGGCGGAGATGATTGTAACAGAGATGATGGCAGCTGTATAAATGGGTGCAATGAATCATGGGCTGGCTCAAACTGTAGCATAGGTAGGTGTAATTGCTGAGATCACAAATGCATTTAGGCCTATGATATTACGATTGGTCTGATGAGTTTAATATACAGAAAATATTTTGTGATATTAAAGAGGGTGGTTACGCCTTCTCCCCACCCCCACCCCCCAGTTTAAAAAAATTAAAAAATATCTGTCTTATTAACCGTTCCCGAATGCTTAGACACCCTATGTCTTAGAACAATCGGTTGTACATTTAAACATATCATTTCTTTCCACCAGAGACAGGCTTTAAGATGTTCTTAATTTCATAGCCAAGGGTTCAATTCTTGTGACAGCGAACATTTCCCTCACGACTAAAAGCAAATTCACTCCCGTATATTAAAATGCATCGTTCCGTCCTATAATTGCACCGGTGATAATTGGCGAATTAGGATTAGTTGTACAAGTACAACCACTGTAAATTTTCAAGAAATTACAAACAAATATTGAGGAGTATCTTAGTCAATAACCGAGGGTGTCTCCAGCTCAAATCTCAACTTTGTAGAGTACTCTTGTGGTTATTTCTGAAATTTTTCTTTTGGTTACGAAATGTCCACAAACTATTTTTCACTCATGTTGCAAGGAGGAAATTTTGCTGATTTAATTATAAGTGGTAGCTTTCCCCTTTAGGACATTCTTCTCTTTTCACATGCCACAACTCCTCCACTGGTTTGGCCTTTGGTGTGATGGCGAAATTTAAGGCTTATTTCCTCATGCTTAAGCTCTCTACTTCTTAACTTCGGTAAACCCAAGCAAAAAGAAGTGGCGCTATCATCAGAAACGTAATTGAAATGTCCGAGCTGTCATCGCTTTACTTTTGACGATGCTTTTTGCCAAGTTTGTAAGTAAAAATTAAAAATTACCTTCAAAAAATTTAGAACTGAATTACCCAAAAGAAACATTTTAGCAATATTCTATTGAATCCAGAATGAATTCATTTCTTCTATTCTTCTGGTTGCTTGAGCTTTTAGCGATTAAATCCAATGGTAATATTACATTTTTTGTAAAGAATTAACGTTGAAATATTATTAATAATTATAGCTTTGCCATACTTAAATACGCCGCCAATCGCTACTGCATATACAAGTGCTATATCGGTTGATGTTACCTGGACACTAGGTAGACACTACGGTACAGGAGCAATAACATCCTGGACCCTTTGGTACAAAAAAGCAGGTAACAGTGAATTCACGTCAATAAATTCCAGCACACCTGACATCATCAATATTACTGGACTGAATCTTCATGAAACTGTAACATATTACAGTATTCTTTCACGATCCATTGAAGGTGTTAACACAGCTGGACCGGCAAGTCCACAAGGAATAATTCAAACCACTTGTTTAGGTAGGCATACAAATTAATTTGATGTTAATAGTAAGTTGAAATGTCTACTAAAGAGGCTAGGAATTATGTTAAATATAATATTTAAATATTTGGACAATAATATTGTCATAACGTTTATTGGGTTTGGCTAGTTTATATGACGCTCATACCAATTTCATACATGTGTTGTACAATAAAACATGAGTCAAATTTAAATTCATAAATTATTTTTTACACTGCGAAGGTAATATTAAATCAATAGCTTTGTTGAATATGTAAAGCATGGGTATAAGGATTTTCTTCTTTTCCATTTCATGAACGATTCAGAACCACTATCGCCTTCACCGCCAACAATCAAATCTGTGGCCAGAAATTATTTAGAAATTCAATGGGAGGTAAGCCCTAAAATGTAACAGATACTAAATTCCTATTATTTCGAGCAACATTTTTAAATATAAGCATATATCACTTATTTGAATAGAATGATTTTTTTAATACACGGGAAGGTTTTACAATTTTAAAAAACAATGTATATACTGTCTCTTATACACATCTAGATGTGTATAAGAGACAGATATAAGGGTACCTGGTAACATCATAAACAATCACTGGTTATGTTTAATATAATGGTGATTTCCAGAGAGAGATAATTATGTTTTCCATTGGCCATGTTCGATTCAATTACTAGGGTAACAATGTAAAACGCATATATGCAGTTTATAGTTTATTGCTATAATGAATTGATTTCAATTCTGTATTTATATTTTGATATCGTATTCCTATGGCGTTTGCGTTAGGAGATCTAATATGAATGATGTGTCATCGTACTGAATTCTCAGTACGTTGCCAAGTACTTACGAAAACGTTTAATAGGAATGATGTTTTGCCCTGCATGACGGAAACACCATCGGGATAGCATTGCAAGTACTTGCTGCAACTGTGGTCGAGTGGTTATTACATTAAGTTAGTTTCTGGTGGTTGATTACTCGAATCACTTGCAAAAAAATTGTAGCAAGTTTTTGAGAACGTACAGAACATTCAGTAAGATAACATGTCAGGTAGGGCAAAATCTCATTCCTGTTATAATATTGTAAACATTTAGGCCCTAATTGTTAATTAAATATTTCAAAATAAGTTAACACAAAGTACATATTTTACAATTTGTATAATGAATATAAATAGGGAATTTAAAACACGCTTATTACAGTATATAAAAGTATAAATAATAATAGTTGCAAAATTAACATGTTTCGTAAATTAGTAATGGAATAAAAATGTCTTTCGTTTAATGTATGAGAAATTTCTAAGTTATCAAACCAAGTAAATTGAACTGTCAATAAAGGTCAGTCCATGTTTCTTGGCATGATAAACATAGACATTTCTCATTTTGTATCTACAAACCAGATGAATATCTTTCACTATTCTAGTTTAATGTGTTACTGGCATCGCCTTTACTCTATTATAGAAAAATATTTCTTGATAATGTGTTAAATCGATGTTTTTTTTTTCTGTAAAATTATCAGAAACATCCGATGGACTCTTCTCACAAATAACAACAATTGTTTTAACTATCATATCTGGGATCTCCATATCGGTGATGTCAGCATCACTTTGGTTGTTGAGGTAGTGATCATATTTGATAATATACATGCATAAATCAAGTTCTATGTTATTAATTTAAGACTGAATTATGTAACATAGGACTTTCAAAGCTGTCATCCTTTCACAGCCTTTCTACCTTCTTGTCCTCATTTCAAAATATAACTCTTTTCGGTTTCTTCGTTCCTCTTACAATACCTTTAACTATTCCCTCAACAAACTTTAAAACTATCGGCAACAGATCAAATCTGTAACTCTATGTCAAAACATTGATTTTGGCATATCATTGATATTAATTAAATCATGAATTAATCATTAAGCTCTAATTTTTTTTTTACAGAATGTTAAGTTAATTATAGGCCTACTTGAATATTGAACGTTTGAGTCAAGTAGCAATATCATATTACCGTTTCATAGCTGAAGTAACTCTTTATAGTGTTTTTTCATACTGTATTTGAAATGTTTCAGTTTAAATAATTTACAGTAACACACAGGTACAGGTAGACACAGGATGTGTGATTTGCTTATGGTTGTGAAACGAGGACATTATTATGCCCAAATATGGATGTGATATGACACCATATATGGGCATTCCACACAAGTTTGCCACATAAAGTGTGGATCGAGCTTAAATCAATCATAGGCCTACACATTTTTTATTCCTTCATGATAGAATAGTTCTTTAGTGTTAGTACTGTTACATATAGTCCGTATACATGTAAACACAAATGTTTCACGTTCATATTTTGCTATAATGGATTATTTATATTGTTTATTGTTTTACAGGAAAGCAAAACAACAAATACGAAACCTGTCAATGAATCAGAAACAAGATGAAGATGTGTACGTAAATCAAAGTTCAATCATTATTCAAGCAAATAAGAAAGATGTATCCGAAGATGTGTGTATTCTATGCCAACTGAGCAACATATCTACACAGATTTGAAGACAAAATAAGCAACACGAATTATTTACAAAATCATTAATGTATTATTATTTTGTCAAATTCTGAATAATCTTATTTTTTTTTTCTCTCTAACTTTATTTCACCATCATTTTCTCTGATTTTCAATCATTATCGTCAATATTATACAGTCAATATTGTAGACTTTTAATCCAAGTTCCAGAGGGAACACATTTTTTTTTATGTGTTGCTATGGTGTTGAGTCCTTGTAAACTAGCAATAAAGACAATATAATACAACAGTATAACTCATAGAACAGAATTTAATTCTTTTCCTCGTGGTTCTCTCTCTCTGTGGCAACTCCTGCCCTCAACGTCGGTATTGTCACACAGGACAACAGTAAGAACACCACATTTCCCCCTCTCTAAAAGCAGAAACTATATAATCACAGTAAAAATGACTGTATACCATATAAGGTACAATGTAAACTCAGTTACTATAACAATAAACACTTCTATTTCTTACTGGTACCCATAACATAGTCACGAGTCCATCTAGGTGGATTTCTAACTCTCTTACTCCTTGAGAAACGTGAACCTAACTGAGTT